CGTAATTCTCTTATAGTGGTGATTGAAGATTCCACAGGTATTGTAGTTTGATAACAGTTAACCAGTAACACCTATAATTGAGTCGCACCCACCCAGTGAAATCAAAAGTCAGAAGCGAGGAGGTTGGAAGATATATTTGATAGACTACCAATATATCGAGAAGTAATTGGCCTGAACTGGCTAGTGATCGCAGGAGAAGTTGAACACGGAGTTCTCACTCGTGATCTGGTGTAGATGCGTGACCAAATACCTCCAACTAGGTGAGTCCACTAAAACTAATGTTGTCAGCGTCCAATGTCGAGAACTTACAGAACTATTGATTTTAGCGATATATTTACCGCTGCAGGTGGTAAGTGAGACAACTCGATCTAACCAAACATCGGTCAATATTTATAGCCAGATAAAAACATTCCACGAATTTGTGATGAATAGAGTACGATGCGCACAAACATACGCTTATATAGAAACAGTCAGTGTTAATAAGCCAATAAGCAGCAAGGTCAAAATTCGGTTTAAGAATGAATAGGTCGGCCTGTCCAGAAGCTGGAATTGTAACGGTATAAAAAGTCGTCACATGCAACGTTAATAATGCGAGTTTGTTTTCAGTATTGGAGGTCAACAAAGAGCGAACAAACTGGAAGAAGAGGAACAAGCCCTACGCTATCTGAACCTGCAGAACAACGAGTAAAACTATTTTGTAATGAGTTTCCCTTTTTGTACTTGGACCGAATCTTTCAATTTCAAAGATACATCTGTTGGGCATGGTCGAAAAGTCATGCCATGGGTTCTCGCTCACATGTTACATGTCGAGAATTTTGAATGTCGTTATTTATCAGCTATCCACAGCACTTCCGCCGTCACACGTCAATTTTCGTAATGTTTGTGCTGGTTACATAACGTTTATTCCAATCTTTTAGTAACTTGACGTACTTAATGCTCACACCCTAGATGTATGGTTAGTAAGCCTAATTTGTGACAATGCAAACGCAAGCAAGTGTAATTCACTATTTATCAAGTCAAAAATAGACCGAAATCAGAGTTTCAAGTAAAATGATTTCTAATTTCATTTACACATGACTCACTCCCCTAATTATGGTAGAGCTGAACATGGGTGTTGGTAGTTGTTTATAAAATGTAGATTGAAGCACCTTTTAATTTTACTCGGAACCTTGATTGGAAGTTTCGAAGCTTAGACCTTAAACACATGTTAGTCAAAGTTCTCACGGTTTTTATTCACTATCAGACCTCGTGGTTTACGTCTATGAACAAATGTGCAATAAACACCATAAACATGTATTGAAACTTCATGTCCTTCAGAAGTTTACTTTCGCCGTAAATGTAACGACTATGGGTAGTCTGAGAAGGGATAGAATTATTCTTCCACACTTTTCGGAATTCCTTTAACGCACCATAAAATTTAATCCAGCTTCCAAAACGCCTGTTCAGTAATATACGTCGAAACGCATCGCCTAGGTCGACTGAAATGTCTCTAGGACATGAATCACTACAAACAGCACTTATTAATTATTAAAAAATTACTTCGTGCGATAATACTTTGGTAGTTGAAGTACTATGAACATTTAAGACTTACCGGTTACTCTACATTTCGTCTTAAGTCTTAGGGAAAACAACGATTAACACAAACTCAGAGTATCTTTAACAGTTAAGTTTTTCTGAATACGCTGTTTTTGGACACACAAAAAATTTAAACAAAGATAGTGAGGCTCAGTAGGGTAATTGGTATCCCAGGCCAAGTTACGAACCAACAATATGGACAAACTGTACACTACAAAACAGAGAAAGCTAGATTAACGCATGTCGCAATGATTTCGTCAATTTGCTGCAGCAAAACACGACCCAAATATGAGAAAACCTGATATTCATGCAACACAACGAACACCCGAAAGACCCTCAACAACTCAAATACGGAATAACCGCCTCTTGTCAGGCCGTTCAAGGTCATTAAAACGAAACAGCGGGCGGCTTTGAAAGGCTCTGACTTTTGTATCGTGCCTATCTTTTGTGCCAGTACACCATGTTCGCACTTCGGAGGCACTTACCGGTCCCGATCGTTTTGTTGTTGTTTCAGGTCGCTACTGCTCCCAAGTGAACGTCAATATAAAACGTACTACAAGTGGTGATGGAGGTGTCTATGACAAAACGCGATAAAACTATGATGAACCGCCGGTCATTCCAAGCAAGCCAGCAGGCGGTGGAATCCCCCACAGACCATCACTATTCGGAGTTCCACTAAACTACTCTATTTGGAAGATCAGAATAATGACGTATTTACGTAAGCTCCCAACTACAGAACATTTCGACTACCTCCTACCGCGCTTAGACGATTAAGCAGCACAAAGGGCTACAGCTAACGCTACAAGAATTCAGCTGTTCAAAATTGAAAAAATTTGGACGACTGTTTTTCGTTAACAGTGAACACCTTACTAAGGACTATCCAGTCTCTATCACGTCATAAAAAAATGAGTGGAGAGCCCGTCGAGTGCCTTCACTCTTTTCAGCAAGCAGCGATTCTAACCTCCCCTAGCTTAGACGTCCCTGTCCTGGAATAACCAATACGCGCACGACTTGCAGAAGGGCTTTTGCCGGGTGCACTACGACAGCACCTTCTATACATGCCACCAAATAGTATGCGGGATCTGAAAACCACAGTCTTTCAGGTTGTAGCCGCGGACAAGCTATGAAACACTTTAAATACACCCTATTTGACATCGACAGCTATTGAACAGTCTGATGTGCCACATCAATCTGAATCTACTCAAATTATTTCCGTGATCAAATGTCGGCCTAATAGACAACCGTTACGAACCAGTCAGCACATACGGAAGATGGGATGCTTTTATTGCCAATGCTTTTGTCGGAGGGCCCTAAAATGTGGGCCTAATAAATCCTTGAAGCAAGGTGAGACTAGGTTTTGCCATTTGTCTTCATATTATTCTAAATCCGTATATTCGATAACTATAACTGGTGGTTTACAGGGACTACAAACCACTATTTTACTGGATACAGGAGCTTCAGTACCCATTGTGAGAGAAGGAATTTTATGCATATTTAATCATAAGAATAAGCAAAAGCCATGTTCCTTAGCACTAAAACCAGCTGGTGGTTACCTTCTGGAGGTGCACTAGAAGGTGTGGTCGGATGTAACGGTAAGCAAACATTCATTCCCACACGAATTCATGATATGCCCCACACTCACGTGGGATGTAATACTTGGAGTCGACTTCATGTCAAAATGCAACGTCGCTATACATGTAGCCAAGGCAGAAACACAAATCGGCAACTCATGTAGGGGTGTCTGAAGTCATACGCCAAGTACAAACTAATGAAAAAATAACGGAGAACGTCCGTCTGTCAACCGTTTCTCCTAGTACCATTAGTGCTGTCCTTAGCATAGCCTGCGAGATTGACTGGCCGCCTATTCAAGCAGCAGACCTTGATTTGCAGTTCATTTACCAAGGGCAACTATATGGAAATGATAAACCATCTATGGCAGAGTTAAAGGATGATTCCTCAGCGACGCGCAGTTTTTGCGCCAAGTGGAGCACTCTGAGATTGTATGTGAACACGTTATTTATAGTGAGTCAAAACAGCCACTGTTGATAATACAGCGTGTACAAGTTGAGAATATTATGAAGCAGATGCACCGAGAACTCGGGCACCTCAATGCCTTTTATCTCACCGCGCATCGGTGTACGGGACCACGGGATTTTCACCCGTGACTTCACTCTTTGGACATGAATTACGCCTACTTGTTGAGATACAGATGCCTTTGTTGCAATGCGAAGCTCAGGACCATGTACCATACATCTGTAACCTTCACAGCCGTCTAGCAAACGCATATAACCTAGTTTAAACCGACCTACAAAATGCCAGCAAACAGCGAAAGGATACATACGACCAACAAGCGAACGGAACCGTATATAAACCCGGAGATCGTGTTTGGCTGCATCGCCCTCTGGCCCCAGCAGGAACATACAATAATTCCCACCAGCCTTGGCAAGTGCCTTATGAAATTGTGTTTATTCGGTCCCTCACTAGATTCGTCCTACCTAACCTCCAATGGCCTGAAGACAATGTTATAACAGTACACTACAATCAATTGAAACCAGACAGAACAACGGTGCACTTAGATACCCAGTTTGTCAACCCCCGACTGCTATCAGCCATTATGAAGTGCCACCAGAAGGAGGGGTAGCATACCAATGTCTACAACCAGGCACTGGGGAAAGCGCCTCATGGAGAAAGGGGATTGTGTGATGGTATTAAAAATCATCATATGAGACGTTACTAATGCGAGTTTGTTTTTCTTATTGGAGGGCAACAAAGAGCAAACGCACTGGAAGAAGAGGAACAAGCCGTATGTGACCTGAATCTACAGAACAACGAGTAATACTATTTTGTAATAAGTTTCCCTTTTTGTACTTCAACCGCGTCTTTCAATTCCATGTGCTATTGCACCTTGTTCTCACTTCATAGGCACTTACCGGTCCCGACTGTCCTGTTGTTGTTTCAGGTCGCTCCTGCTCCAAAATGAACGCCAATATATAACGTGCTACAGAATATATATATATATATATGAGTTTAACATAGCACACGAAGTTACACTATTCCCCACACTAAACATCGGAGTGTAACTAAGCAAAGCCAGTTTCCGATACAGTCATCTATTTTACGTCGACTGCTGCCTCGAAGGTTCGACAGAAATAAACTCTTCTTTGTATGAGAGCTGTGAACGGTTTTGATCGGAGTGATCTTTTGCTCACCGTCTACAGAATCCCACTGGTAGTTGCAGTATTTAGACCTAAAACGTAAAGTTATTTAGAATGAAATATACAGATGATCCTCCATGCCTAAGTTGTGACGGTGAGTAATAAGATGTACAGTCTTCGGACGAATTTTATACACCTGTTGATATATTCAAGACGAGATTGGACCTCCACAGTGTAACAAACTGCAAGGATTAAAATAGGTCACTAGACCTTCTATCCTTATTACTGAAGACTAGTACTGCTTATATCCTGAAGGCAGTTTTCTCGTCATGATGCGCTGGGTTTACATCCATTTGCAAATGTGCGTGTACAAACATTTGACGGAGAAATACATCAGGAAAATCCCATCCTTTCTACATGCCAATACGACATATGGTGTATGTATACTGAGTAAAAAGGATATCGCGAAATTATCATTGGGTAGATGGTCCGTCTGTTGTAGTGTCATTAAATATTTGCCCTATGTCATGCATGATTAAAGTGACATCACTTTCGTTATTTGAAGGATGAACGTGACCAAATATCATAACTGCACCCACCACTCAAAGACCTAATTTGACCGCTTATGACCAACCTTACAGGTTATCGAGGTAACGCACCAATGGCATCAACATACGGGCATTGACCTGTAACAGCTCAGCAACCTCCATAATGGACGATGCTACGAAATCGTTGCCAAATAGTATTGGGAGTTGAAATTAATTCTTCACCACGAACTGACATCGGTTGAAGAATACCAAAATCCATATCTTAATCATAAGTCCAGACATTCCGTGTTGCTAACCAACCTCTCCTTTCATTTGATTCACTATAAAGTGATGAAATGAACTATCAGCCTAGGTGGTGAAATTCTTCAAGTATTTTTGAAAGAATTGGGAAATTTTCTCGTTGATTCTATACTTAATCGTCCTATGTGTGTGAACAATCAAGGCTGTACACTTATCTCAATTTCTGACTCAGCCATATCGTTGTTTATTATGAAATATGTTGACATTTGGGATTACTCGTTGACGAGTAAGGTTGGGTGCGTTTGGTAATTCCCGATTTGCAACTTATATGTCTGCGTTGACGGATATATTCTCAAATCACTTTGATTCCGTTACAAAAGCAAATAATGAGTACAAAGAAGCTAAGAATATATATATATATATATTTGGGGTCAATCAAGAGATGCTAAAATTATGTAGATAACTAAACAGTTATGCATTCACGAAAGCTATCAATTATCCTACTATCATAATGTAGTAGATTCATTTATTTACACGAACATTCGATTCAGCGTTGATATGAAATAGCCTGAATCAACATAACGGGTTTCTGTGCTAGGTGGTCACTATAAATTTCGTATCATAAGGTGTTGATTTCATAGTTTATTCTAGTAATTAACTTGACAATTCTTAGTTAGCTGTTCTTGTTCCGCCAATCTTTTTTTAAATTTGTCCGTACATTTCTACTGTAGGTACGTTCCATCTTGCAATTTGACTGACTAGTGATGTATACAAGCAGTGTAAACGAGGTAGATTTCATTTCCATCTAATGGCGTTATAGCCTATTATCTGCAAAGCCGCTGTTGCTTGGGAACCAAGTAAACCACTAGTGATTGAAGAGGTTGAAGTTGCTCCTCCATCAGGTGGGGAAGTGAGGATCAAGATTTATTCTTCCGGAGTTTGTCATACAGATGCATATACTTTGGGTGGTCATGATCCTGAGGGAGTTTTTCCTGTCATTCTTGGACATGAAGGTGCAGGCGTTGTAGAAAGTGTTGGGGAAGGTGTTTCGTCTGTTGTTCCAGGGGACCACGTTATTCCATTATACATTCCACAATGTAATCAATGCAAATTTTGTCTATCTAAGAAAACAAATTTATGCTCGAAGATAAGGTAAAAATTTCAGTTAACACAATGCTTTGTAGGGAAACGCAAGGAAAAGGCCTCATGCCTGATAGATCTGTTCGTTTCAAATGTCGTGGTCGACAAGTGCATCACTTCATGGGCTGTAGCACTTTTAGTGAATACACAGTGCTACCTGAAATTAGCTTGGCGAAAATTGACAAAAATGCCCCACTGAATAAAGTTGGCCTCTTGGGTTGTGGCATAAGCACGGGTTATGGAGCTGTCTTTAATACTGCTAGTAACAATGCTTTTACAACTCGCTTTATGATGTTAATATTCAGAAGTTGAGAAAGACAGCATATGTGCTGTTTGGGGTCTTGGAGCAGTTGGATTAGCAGTTATAATGGGATGCAAAAAAGCTGGTGCTAGAAAAATTATTGGAATAGATATTAATGAAAACAAGTTTGGTTTAGCTCTTTCTTTTGGAGCTACAGAATGCATAAATCCTGCTAAGCATTCCAAGCCAATACAACAGGTTCGTTAGGCATTTTTAGGCATGCAACCGCACATGTTTTCTGAATAGTAGTGAGATATATTCTATTTTGTTCCCATCTAGTAGTTTTCGCTAGCCATGAAAAGCTGTTTTGATTACCGGCTGGATCCGTGTCCCACTTCAAAATTTTCCTGCATAAGTTATTCCAAATCATATATACACCAAACTACAATAAATAATTCTTAAGTTTTATTTTGCCTATTTTTCATTGTATCACCCATACGAGTAAAAAAGTACGATTGTTTCATAGCACTTGTTTTGTTAGCGCTCATTCTCAGTAATCAAAGCTTTGGGTTTCACAGCTCACTTATCTTCACTGTGGAATGCATTCTGTAATATAGTTTGTTTACGTTAATTCATAAACACCTCGAAACAGAACTTAGGTTCATCATCAACCCACTAGGAGTGATGATACTCTCAAGATAAGTAAAACAGTCAACTGCCTTAATTCTCGTGGTCAGTCTAGGTGACGGCGAAGACAAGTTCTAAACCAGCGTTATCCATCTAGAGGTAGAGAAATATATTCCAAACATTCTTGCATTGTAAGTCAACGCGATAAAGAAACTGTCGTGTCACTGCCTCCACCAAGTAGGACTTTGTCATCTGTGTACCTCAGTTTGATAAGTCAGTCACCTGGCAAACAAGCCATCTCTCATTAATTTGGTGAAGAGAGTGAGTTTCTTAGTAAGAGATCTGCAGAGAATAGGAGATAGTGAGTAGTTCTGAAGACCACCGTTTGCGGTTAATAGTGGTACCCTCACGTCAAAAATAACACTTGTAGGTCATTGTTTGTTCGAAAATCTGGGACATGGTGGATAATCTATCGATACGTCCGCGATTGGCTTGGGGCTAGCCCGGTTTTGCTGGCAATGAGCTCCAAGTAGTCGAATGATTTTATAAAGTAATATTTGAGATATATTAGTCGAATTGATTCATCTGTTATTTCGATGAGGCTATGGTCCTTGTATGCTGGCACATGGTCAGTGACCGAAACCATTTTGGTGAGGTTGCGTCAAGTTTCCAAAGTTTAGCTAGTGTCTCAGACAACTTAGCTGTTAAAACTACCACTATCCTTAAAGACCTCTGGAGTTAACCTGCTAGGTTGTGTTTCACCCCTCTGGATGCTAAATATAACCTTTCCAACCTGGCTAGGGCTTGGATGACCTGTGTCAATTTCTCATTCACATTGTTTGGTAATATTGGACGACTAGACAGTTTCTGATGAAATCAAGTATTGCATCACTAAGTAATATCATAAGACAGTGCTATATACCGTAATAATGAGTAGATTTCTTATGTTAATCATGATAATCGGTGAGATTTCTTAGACCAACAATATCTCTTAAACTGCAAAAGTGGAGACATAAATTCTTAGGTTTGAAAACCCAGTTTGTTAGAAAACAATTTCAGTTTATTATTGAGGTTACTTGTTTGAAATTTAGTCAAATGCCTATTTTCACTTAATTTTTGTCGTCATTTTTATATCACAGGTTATTGTTAAAATAACTGATGGAGGTTGTGATTATACTTTTGAATGTGTCGGGAATGTAGCTACTATGCGTCAAGCTTTAGAATCATGTCACAAGGGCTGGGGTGTTTCAGTTATAATTGGTGTAGCAGAGGCTGGGGCAGAAATTTCAACTCGACCATTCCAACTTGTAACTGGCCGTACATGGAAGGGTTGTGCTTTTGGAGGTTAGTTGTAATGATCATCATTTTGTGACATTTACAACTGCATGTAACCTTTAAAATTATCTGGGAAAAATGGTGCAATGTGGGATTCACAAATAGTCTCACAGTAAAACGGACTTTCGTGTTGGGATTTTCTTACGCTGTATTCTGATATGAGACTTCCATGTAAAGTGCATTTTTATATCTCTTGACATACACAGTTTTCGTGAACTGAATTATTATCAATTACTTAGGTTCAGTTGTTTGAGCGTTCGAGCTCCAGCCATTTATTCACGTGTTTAAATCCGCCCCACCTTATTCTCGTTTCAGAAATCAGGCTGATATGATTGACAAGAATTAACCGTAATAATTAAGTCTTGTTTCATTGGAAATTGGGTGACCGACAAAACCGACTTTTCCCAATCGCTTATGACGTGTTTGTTTTGTGTCGATAATCTGTGTGTAAGCATTATTATTTATTGTATAAAACTGAAAATATGTCATTCCAACAATAGCCGATATAGAGACAGTGCAATATAAGTCATTAGTTCGTAGTCTGTTATTTCGCTTATCGTTTTAAGAAAACTAGTGTTATCGTAGTGCATCTAACCTCAGTGCTAAAATGAATTGATTCAAGCACTTCTAGGAAATTAAATCAGTAAAGCTTTTGTTGTCAAAAATGCTTTGATTCGTGACTAAATCTGAGTGCGATAGAAATACCTGACATTCGCTTCTCGATTTCGTAAACAACACTCCCGCAACGAGAAGACAGTGAGTACGACTTCCCTGGCAGAGGCTATATACGCGTGGCCATGTGAGAGCATTTTGAGAGGAAGAGCGGACTCTCCCCACTCTCGGCCGTATCAGGGCATTTGGGGGCAGGCCTATGGATCAACTTAGGAGGTTCTGATTTTGGTGTCAACTATACCCAAACTACTTTAATGTTAGTTTTCCCTGGGGAGTGTCATTATCCTAACACTTATGATCATCTTGTTGACAAGTGATGACAAACACCCGGGTCTGACGTTTCCTACAAACAATATGATCAGTAGGATTCTTTCAACACTATATGTCATTGATCTAGTCAAGCTTAGGTGCTCTACTAAAGTTAAAATCTTAGTATAGGCTCTAAAACTTAACAGCGAATATGTAGAAAAGTGTTTTATAGACCTGTCAGCCCTTTTATGGATATACTTATAAGAATCCTGCTTTTCAGCAAACGAAATTGGTGTTGGAAAATCTTACCCCAAAATTATTATGACTTAATTTTCAATTGGCAAAAGACGCACGGCACTAATGTTTATAAACAACACATTTGATAATCACTGAATCAGGTCTATTCACTCTAAATATCTGTGTATGAAGATTACCATGCATTGTTGCAATGACTGGATAGTAGAGTATAATCGCTGCCTTGTGAAATCTTGCAAACTGTTTCGTTTTTGTTGTGCCAAACCGACTTAATGTGATTTTCATAAAGCTGATTAATATACAATGACTGAACAGTTTTTTGTTGTCCATTTTATATTAAGTTCGCGTATAAATACGTAAATACCTGAATATTGCTCAGTGTTTACTAACAATTGTTGAAAAGCTGAAGAAATTTAGGAGAAGTATAGTAATGCTATGTTACTGCGAATAACTTACCGAATGTATTTTTCTTGTTATTGTCAAAGAGCGGGTTGCATTAAGTTTCTTGGTGAGATGTCAATGGAGCTGTTAATAAGGAGTGGCGATTGTTAAATATCTTTATTGTTACCGTCTTCACTCGGCTTTGTTTGACGTATTCCAGGTGCTAACTCTTGCAGATTTCTAATTAACCAAGAAAGTCAGTTAATCGCAACGTAGAACCTGGTACGTATGCACTACTGTCCAAGTTGCCATACCCCATTAGCACAGCGAGATGAGATTGTTAGAGGGGGCAGTAATATTATTGATGGTAAGTCAAAATGGTCAGGTATCAAACACACAATTCAAGAACACCCGAATTGGTAAAATAAAGAGAAACTATGAAGAATTTAAAAGCCTAGGGTCTGTGAGATGACAAAGAATAACGGGTGCATCTGCACTATGGCGAACGATTTTGAGCTTTGTCACTCAGCCTCTAACCATTAGTTACAATAATCACGCAGAGCTCAACCAGGTAGTCTACACCTGTTAGCTTGACAACGATTTCGCAGCTTAAATAAACTATAAATTTTATTAAGTTTTTATTTATTGTTACGATAGTTTGTTCTAAATATAATAAGGTTATTTGTTTTTGCAAATATCAGCAACAATTACTGTCTTATCTATATCTGATTGTTAATGCACATATTCATTTGTCTTACCAACATTCCTATTAGGTTGGAAGTCTCGTGACTCAGTGCCCAAACTAGTTGAAGACTATTTATCAGGAACGATCAGGGTTGATGAATTCATCACTCATCATTTTCAATTAAAAGATATCAATAAAGCTTTTGATTTAATGCACGATGGTATTTGGTAAGTATAACGCAATGCTCCCTGTTGTTTACTGTTTTAATGCATATATTTCCTATTTTTTGAGACTTCATCATTCACTATCAGGCGAAAACGGTACCGTTGATCTGGAAAGATTGACTTTTTCGTCGTAAAATTCAATACACAAATCAGTTGCCGATCGTAACCAAATTTATTGCTTTGTTAGTCATATTAAGCAAATTATTGGTCATCCTTTGAGTTAAGTCTTTTAGCGAATAACTGAAGACAAACTTTCCCTTGGTATATTCGTTAACAGTAGTTTTTCTGAGAAAGTAGATACAATTAGATCAGTAAGCCTATCGGTAGAAATCTAACATTTGATCATTTCGAAATTTAGTGGTAAAGACTTTTGAACTACATCAGACGAAATGTGATAACAACAGTGAGTTTCAAAATTTCATTGAAGTGTATGAACTCCCTGCCTGTATGTCAATTGTGTAGTATTGTTAGGTGTTTCCCTATCTTTTCTTACTTCATGTATTATAGTATATTACTCCTTCTTGATGTGTATTTGTTTGTGTTCCATTCATCCATTTTGGAATTGAAATGTTAGTACCTTCGTGACCTATTTCATCCTGTGACTTATAGACAATTTCTTTTTGACTCTGACGGTGTTATCTCAGTTAGCTACAATGTAGGACCAGGCACATACATGGATCGGTCCAAGTTGCCATACCTCATTATCAAAACAAGATGAATACCGAATTCATAGTAGTTAACTTAATAGTGGTAATATATGAACGAAAGATTGTATATAAGGATATAGTACAGGAAGGAAGACAAATTGTGTATACACCCAAGCCATTGTGATCGATTCTGAGCCATGTCACCTAGAGTCTCCAACCATTGGTTACGATAGTCACGCGGACCCCAACCAAGTAGTCTGCATCTACCAACATGGCTCAGACTACAAGTCAGCGACTTTATGGACTGATGCCATGTTTTGGTTTGGTCGCCTTTAACTTCCTTCCGATCATCGGCAATACTAGTCAGCGTGGCGCGTTGTGGTAATCGGTGTTCAGACATACGTAACACGTGGTCCAAACATCTCATTCGATGAAGATTCATCACCTCATCAACTGATTTACCACCATTCCCTGATACTCTGTGTCTAATCTCACTATCACTTACCCGGTGATCCCAGCAGATGCGAGCAGTATTTCTAAGACATATGTGGTGAAACACTAGTAGTTTAAGAGTATCTTCTACTATTAATGGCCACGTTTCACAGCTGTAAAATAGAACAGAGCGAACTGCTGCACAGTATACTCATCCCTTAATTGATGGACGGATATCTCGTCCTCACCATATGTGACGTAAGTTGGCAAAAACCAAACGAGCTTTTCGGATCCGTGCTGAGATTTCGTCAGACACGAACCCATTAGGGCTGATCAGACTTTCAAGATAAGTGAAGTTGTCGGCACGTTCGACTACTTCACTCCATATGCTTAGTCCAGTTGTTGACGCAGGCCAGTCCTGGAGTAACGGTTTACATTTAGAGTGGGAGAAACGCATCCCAAAAATCCTTGCATTGTTACTCAGTGCCAACAAAAGACTGCATTTTGTCAGCGTCTTCACCAAACAGGACCATGTCATCTGCGTATTGTAAGTCGATAAGTGGACCTCCTGGTTGATCAGTTCCTGAAAATTCAGTCGACAAGAGCGTTATTTCCAGCAGTATGTCTATGATGAAGTTAAACAGAAATAGGGATGGTGGACAACCTCGTCATGAGCTGTGACTGCACTGGTAGTGTTCGAGTAAAGAGCCTTCACAAGGTTTATGTACTTCTGAGGTACGCCTTTCAATGTCAGGCACTGCCAGCGAACCTCTCAGTGTAGAGTCAAATGTTGCTTTCAAGTCAAGAAAAACTATCTTTGTCTGACGCCGATAAGTATGCATGTGTTCTAAAACCTGACGGATAGTGGATATATGGTCGATACAACTACGACCTGGTCTGAAGCCCTCTACTACAGGATGATTTTGACCCCTTTCTTATGTATTGGGACAATCAGTGATTGTGACTTAGATCTGATTTGCTTTCGCTCTTTATCCTGTTCAGAACCTGATGGGATGAGTTTACGAGAATCCATCATTGTAATAAACTTAGAAGAAACCCATTGTTGTTTTATAATCCTTCGGTTTGTTCATATAACTTTCCAAGCAACATCTGCGTCAGCCTCGTATACAGAACTGTTTAAATGTGAACTCAGTTGTTCCTGGAATCTTTTTTAGCTTCTCGTTCGTCAGTTCAAGTCTAATGGGACTCCTTAGTATGGTTTTTCTGTGTCCAGTGAGGCGCAAGCGATGCGTGCTGGCATTAGAGCATGGTCGGAGTCACCAGCTAAGAGTTTAGCTTTTCGAAGAAGCTCAGAGAGCTTTCTGTAAAAGTCACCTTTCACTTCATCCGGGCTGCTGTCAGTGGGGGCGTAGGCAATGACGACGTAAAGGCAACGACGTGTAACCCTATTCCGAGTTCTTACGGAGCTATCTAACTGATCAGCACATAGGCGACTATTAACAGGGACCCACTCTAATAGTGTTTGTTCCGCTCTTGTATGAAGTGCTATGCCTACACCTGTAAGTCTACGAGAACTAGCCATCGGGTCTCCAGATACAGATATCTCGTCGGCTCCCCGTTTTTGCGAGGTCTACTGCTGAAAGCCAAGGTAGTAGGAATTATAGGAACTGAAGGAAATCGATTATGAATACAGTGATCTTGAGCGCTGTTAGAGGTATGAGGGCAGTTATTACTTCCCGGTTGCCCACAACGTAGAAGGGTTTTTCTAGAAGTACCTGAAAAACAAATTGAATTAGAAGTGGTCTTACTGACCCGAAGGCGTGACCGCAGTACTCAAGGGACAACTGCCTGAGGTCTGTCTCACACGACCTTTTTTGTTAGCTCCGTACCTGTTGGGACCTTACCGCCGGATAAGGCGGTGTACATTTTTAGGATCGACATTCTCTAACACCACCCCTCCTTATGGGAAGGCAGCACCGCTGTTACGCTGGTATGAAGGAAACACCTTACTGCTGTCACATCTCTGTACAGTCAACAGTACAACTTCGGGCTTTGGGTTTGCTGCTTTTAGTCTTACCGCTCTTCAACCGACCTGCCTGGCATTGTAGGACCTTAAGGAACGATTGTTCCAGCTCGATTGGTTCATCACGATAGGCAAGCCCGACCATCATGTCGATGTAGCAGCAACGGTCGAGGTGTCATCTACCGTAGAGCACCTTACTGTTCGAAATTCGTGTACCTCATCACATGTACTACTTTCTTCAATAGTACCACATTTCAGATTAATCACAACTTTTTCATTCGAGATTCTTCGCTTAAGGCCACTGTTTGCTCGGAATCTATAACTATAGTGTTTTGCCGCAGTCTCAGAACCCTGACGACTACGTTTGTAACTGGGTAGAATTAGTCGTGCATTCCTCTATCTACATTTGTCTTTACAGGAATTAAATGTACCAAATATTTCTTTTCATTTGTCAATATGAGTTGTTGTGGTATTGTAACCTTGGAAAATATTAACTAAAATCAGATCAAAATTCAGAATAAAATATTGTTCCAGATATAGTAAGGATAATTTGTTGATATACCTTATTGATTAAATTAAGCTTCTCCTTACTTTCACTATACTTGTCCCACTTTTTAAAATTTGTTTTCAGCATCAGACCAATGATTCACCTCTTCGCTCCGTAAAATCCTGGTGTCGCCTGTGATATCTATAGTTACCATTGTTTCCCCTAAGTGTTATGGCATTTTCTGCGTACTAAAATATCGTATATTTGTTGGTAAATCTTTTATTGGATTTCCAGTATTTGGTGTATCTATGGACATATTTTATTTATTGAGCACATCGAAGTAATATTGTGGAAAGCATAATAGTGTAGTCAACAAGAGTGGTAGTTAATTAGTAGAAGTTTAGAGATATAGCCCAGGTAAATTTCTCCTACTTTATAGCCATATCTTTCATGGAAAATAAAGTGAAAAACTAAAACATGATCGCGATTAGTTCCATTTCTGAGTTATACTTAATAACGTCTTGAGTTGTATAACTTCTACGATTGCAGGCAGATACTCTGTCTAGCATTCTAGGCTACTTTAGGGATTACCGGTTAAGACACCACCAAATTACCTCATAGAATGTTATCCTAACACCAGGATTCTTCCTGCCAGTGGTTCAGCTAGTTGAAGCAGCTTGCAGCAACGACGTGCTAACTTACTCTGATAACTTTCTTACATAGGATTGGATCTTCGCACACCTGTTTACCGATCAGATGCTCGGGAGATAGCCTTGATTTGAAGTCCGGAATAGCATAAAAATCCTAACATTTGAAACAATGATGATCCTCAATGACGTCTTTAATTTACTCACCTTACATGCTTCTGCTCACAATTTATAGAGATTATGCTTCCCCCGTTTCATATTTTATTTTAAGTCTCTGAGCGATTGGTCGTTGAATGATACCAAGAAATGCTAAATGCAATATTTGGGATTTTAAACTTCCTGTGAAGTTCGTGCTTTCACTTACATTAGATGAGTTTGCATTTTCTGAGATGTCTGGTGTTTGTAAGAAACTGTCCATTTATCGATTAAAAACGTTTGTCCTAAGTGCTCTTATATTAGGACGTCGTGGCATCAGCTTTTAAACTCGCTAGCGCTGGTTTCGTTCTGAAGCTTAGAGAAGCGACAACACTAGTCGGTTAGATCCTCATTAACCATTGCTAGTGTCCTGTTAGGTTCTGTGTCAAAGCCTAAAGGAACTGACGTAGGAAATTCATCTTCGTAATTTTTGCTTACATGGTTATGGATCGCAGCTTAGGTGTAATCAAGTATAAGTTCTACTACCAATTAAACGACTTTAGTGGACTGTGTTAGATAATTGTCGTACTGCCAATTGGAGAACCCAGAGCTCAGGCGTCTAGACGTAGCAGTCATTCGAGTAGTTATTAGAGACGTGGTAGCTTCATGTCGAATAACGATTCTCGCTGGTACTTTGTGTTACCATAATCTTTTGTTCAGCACAAAATTCCCGCGCAATCTTCGTCGATATACTACTTGAGGTCCTCTGAAACTCATACATTGACTTGAATTGGTCATATTATAATAAGCTATCAATACCCTGGTTATGTAAAGGCAATAAACGTAATAAGTTTGGAGATTACCTCACTTTTCCTGAAGACCGTTCCGACGTATCGCTTTACAGATCAAAAACTTTAGGACATATGTACTGGGTTTGATTTTTGTGTCACTGCTGTCCTATCAGCCTCGTAGTGTTTATGTTTCTGAAAGAGAAAATTGGGATTAGTCGAATTCAAAGATCAGTAATTTTTTCCAATCGTTACATGTAGTCCATTCACGTTCAGTAATTTTTCCATCTTTATTAGCATGTAAGCAGGAGATTACTGCAGTCTCTGACTAGAAATGGTTAAAACTCAAGAAACCAGATGCAAATCATGCAAATCTATTTCACTGTCTGCCGATCGTAATGAACTAAGTAGCACCGTTCAGATTTGTATTATAACGGTGCATAAAATTAGAAGGCAAAGAGAAGCGGCAACTATAGTTTTATTGGGAAATGACGCAGGCCAAAAAGTTATAAGCACATGAGCAAATATCAGCGAGCAGGCGAAAATAACGCGCACTGGAGATGGCGGGTGAGCCAACTCGCTTCAATCAATATTTATAGTCAGATATAAAATGACAGACATGTGATAAAATAGATAAGTTTACACATACATATGCTCATGTAAGGGCTAGTAAGTGAGTAACTAACAACCCCATGATGGGTAGGTAAATTGGCTTGTCCAGAAAGTGGAATAAAATATGTTGGTGTAACTTAGTATACGACGTTACACTACTACCCAAATTTAGGGATAAAATGAACGACTAGGTTGGTAGACCTTCCTTTAAAAATGTTTATCAAATTATTGTTGGCAATCTATAGACACCACAGTTTACTCATTCGCACCACAAACAACACCCGGATTCACCAAGCTAGTCAGATCGACAGCAATACTTTGATCGAAGTATTAGTATACTCAATGCTGATGCGAGTAACTCAGGACAATTATAGAAATGTAGTTGCAAGGATTATTAGGTGCAGGTTAATTGAGGACCAAATAAGTAAAATCCAGGAACTGGTAAGATCACGGACAAACCAGAGAGATGGAGCAGAACAATTATACCTTACCATGATATGCATACAATGCAAGTATGTAGATTCTATGATGCCTAGCGAATTGACCGGTTTGGCACCTGGTAACTGTCACAATCTGCCTTGTGACAATTCCAAAGTGCCAAGTGGGACCCATTCGTACATGGTGCCTTAATATACTTCCAAGGTCCAACACTTCAAATCCCACCATTACGGCCAGAGGTTAAATGGTCCAAACGGTTGTAGACGGAATTGAAGAACATTTCGCCTAAAGAGCTTCCGTATCTAGTAGCAGTGGGTCGCCAATACCTCCAGGCAGGAACTTAGGTATATTACCGATAATAAGAAAAAAGGAAATTGGTAAATCATAAGATGTTATCCTTTGTCCTCAAGAATAGGTCAAGTTTCCTCTTAAAGGACTCCTGGGAAGTCGTTTGGACTAGCTCAGTCGGCAGAGGATTCCAGCGTTCGACAACCCTTAAGGAGTAGAAGTTGTGTCTACAGTCCGTTCTGCTAAGTTGGGTCTCCAGTTTCTGGGTGTAACCCCTTAAGTTTGTATCGGACTAAGCTTAAGTGGGTGTTGAAGAGGATGTCCAGAAGTGTTAATGATACTGTAAGTCATAAGAAGACCACCTCTGAGACGCCTATGCTCTAACGGGTAAAGGTTAAGTTATTGGGGGTGCTCTTCATAAGGTTTGAATTTGAGTCCCTGAACTGATTTCGTGACTCGCCGTTGGATACGCTCCAGAGTGTTCTTATCTTTTGGGAGTGAGGGATGAGGTACTGTGCTTCCGTAACCTAAACGGGGACGAATGAAACTGTTGAAGATTATGTGGAAAGTTCTACCGTCAAACTAGTCAAAAATGCGCTTCAATGTTAGCAGTGCAAGGTTTGCTCAACAGTCATTTTTGTCACAGTTAGCGTACGATTTCAAGTCGTAGGTTACCAGCACTCTCAGATCCTTTCCAACTTGGGATACTTCTGGAGAGGAGTTTCCTTAGTTGCAACTGCATTCTGCATTATATCTCAGATGGACTACATTGCACTTTGAAATGTTGAAAGTAAGTCCGTTGTCGTCTGCCCAACTTTGTGGTCGAACCAAATATATCCTCTTGGTTGCGTATTTTTCTCCAAAGTTTCACATCATCAGCAAAAAGTAAGAAGTCTGATGGTACCTGCTTTGAAAGGCCGCTTATATAAATTAAGTAAAGCAGAGGTCCTAGTATTGAGTCCTGAGGAACCCGACTAGGGCATTTCATAGTCTGAGAGAAAGTGAAGTTAACCCTAACCTTAAAATGTCCATCATTTAGATATGAAGTGAGCCGATCAATTAAGAGTGATTTTATACCTAATCGTTTAAGTTTATTGATAAGACATATACAGCTGACCCTATCAAAAGTTTTTGAGGAATCAGGGTAAATGATTTCAACCTTCCCCTTGCGATCAAGGATGGTTGTCCATCTGTCCACCGCAGTCAGCAGAATGATTATACAATAATGATCATTTGTGAAACCATGCTGTTGGGGTGAGAAGAAACTTAAGGATAATAGGTAGTCGTGTATGCCGTCGCATATCAGGGACTCCATAATTTTAGAAGGTACAGAGGGAAGAGCCACTGGTCGGTAGCTGGAGGGTTTGCTGCGTCAACCTCCTTTGAAAATTGGTGTGGTGTGAACTAGCTTCCAAATTTCCGATAGTTCGCCTCGACTTAGAGAGTGTGAGAACATCACGCTAAGTGGTGTTGCCAGGATTGAAGCTGCTTCCCTTCAGTATAACAGAATGAACCATATCTCAACCGGGAGAAGTGTCTTTTCTTAATTGCTGAGGTTTCCGAAACATCGAGTCAACGCTCAGGCTCACTTCGGAAAGTCCTGTGCAGTTGCAGATGAAGCTTTCATCATTATCGTTAGTGTGAGTCCGTTGAAATGTCAGAGAGTACTGTTCAGCCAGAAGGTTAGCAGCATCCCCGTCGTTAGTAGTCGGACGATTAGGACCTAACAGTTGGGAAACTCCAGTTCTGGCTAATCGAAGAGAGACTGCATGACAGAATCGGCTTTTCGGATTGGAGACAAATCGGTCGATAAGCTTGGTCTGGTACTGAAGCCTCTCTTATTGCCTTTGTGCAAATGCTCCTTATATGTTTGTGTTGCCTGTACGCACCGCTATTACCAGTTCGTTTGTATTCAGCCAAACAGTGACTTTTGCGGCTTAGCAAAAGAAGAGTGTGGTTCTTGATGGTTGTGGGTTGCTTGTAGATTTTGGGTACCGTTTGAGGAACAGATTGCCTTGTAGAACATAAGGGCGTGTGCAGTGAGAAATCCCGATGAGCATTCAAATCAAGTTGAGGGTGAATATTCTAATCCACCTGTGGTAGATATTCCTGTGAAGCTTACACATTTAACCGCTTGAAATTGCAGCGCCTGTTGTTGGTGGAATATCTTAGCTCAGTTTTGTTGACAAAACTGTAGGATATAATGGCGTGATCGCTTTTCCCCAGGGGAGCCAGAATTTAGAGGTTGTCGACTAGGAATTCTTCGTCTTTAAACACTCAGTCTAAGCGCGATGTGCTAGGAAATTCAAGTTTCTTGTCTAATTCTACCCAGAGCATCTTGTCAGTTTTTATCCTGCAATTTGA